TTTTTTCCTTCCAGCAAACTAATAAGGTGCGTAAACTTGTTATAATCCTCCTTGTTGGATCCCTTCTAATGACCTCATAAGTACTTTCGTCCTGAAGCATCTCATTAACCTTAGAAATGTACACCTGTCTATCTAATGCTACCGTGATACATTGGTTTTACATTTTCTTTATTTCGAGAATTTCAAAATTTCTTTCCCCCTTTTTTCTTTTTTACTGCATTCTTATCTGGATTTAATTCTGGCATTTATACTCTCGAGGTGAGGAAGATCACCATGACTAGTTAATAATTGTTATATTCTATGTATGTGAATTTATTAGTTATCTCTGAAGAAGGCTCAAAAATGAGCCGAAACATGTAAGCGCTTTAGTAAAATAAAGAAGTTTCACGCTACGATAGTCGTGTTATTTGCGCAACATCTCCCGCGCTTGACTCCTACTGCCCTTGTTCTTTCATTGTTTTTTGACTTATATTTCATAGATAATATCCGAGTGACAACGATCTTCCACGAAAGAAAAGAATCTTGGAGTCTACAGGACGTAACACTTTTATCTGCTTATTTCATATTTTAAGCGACGAAACAACTCTTGAGAATGCGATAAAGTTAATTTAACATTTTCGATAAATATGAAAATACACGGTTATTAAGAGAGTATAAAGTATCATACTTTTGTACAAAACATTTTTTTCATATATCTTAAAGTTTCGAAGATATTGAAAATGAAAAAAATTCATTATTTTCGAAATGTTTCAAATCCTAAATCTTGAGATAAGTAAATAAAAAAAATCTGCGAGTAAAAATTTTTTGATGCTTTACATATCCAAAGCCCAGCAAAATCGGTGAAAGATAGATCCAATACGCGACGGTTTTCTTGTAAGTTGAATTCAGTCTATTATAATGTGTCTTGGCGAAAAAAGAGTTAAAAAAGCTATTTTGTAGTTGTTTGTAAAACGGTTGAGAAATTCTTACAAAACTGCTATTATCAAGATATGCTTATCTCATCAACGATGGAATCGCTCAAAATCGACAAAAAGTTCTATCTTGAAATAGCCAAAGCTAACTTGCGAAGTAAAAAGCTATTTCCAGTTATTAGGAAGATAACATTCATAAATTAATTATGCATTTACGATGACGGTTTTACGCAAGTGATATAACGCAATATTTGTTTGGAAGTATAAGCATAAAATGCAGCATGATAATAATAATCTTGCTGACAATATTACGCATAATTAATAATAAAACATTAAATAACTATTATACAGGGTGTTCTAGAGCGACCGTACCAAGCTAATTTCTTGAAAAATATGCATTTTCGTAAAAAATGTTTCAAACAAAAGTTTATCGACTTCGAGGATACCATTAGTTTGACCTTGGGTGGCTTTGTTAAGATCAGGGCAAGGTCAATTTGAATTTTTTAAATGGAACCCCCCATTTTTCAGTACATACTCTTGTAGCTTACTTCGAGAGCTTTTCAAAACACTATAATAAAGTATTTTTCCATTAAGTATAATACTTTTTGAGTTATAAGGCTCGAAAGTTACAGTACAGCTGGTATTACGCAAGTTGTCCGACCGATGGCTAAAACTTCTTTAATGTTGTTCAGGATCATGTCCTGGATAACATTTGTCAAGATCAAGGCCATTGGAGATTATTTCTCTCATTTTCATTTTTGTACTAAAAATTCATTTTTACATAAAAATGGAAATAAGAGGTACAACCTCCAATGACCTTGATCTTGACAAATGTTATCCAGGACATGATTCTGAACAACATTCAAGAGGTTTTAGCCGTCAGTCGGCCAACTTGCGTAATGCTAATGCGGACTGTACTGTAACTTTCGAGCCTTGTAACTCGAAAAATACTTAATGAAAAATATTTTATTATAGTGTTTTGGAAAGCTCTCGAGGTAAGCTACAAGAGTATGTACTGAAAAATAGGAGTTTCGTTAAAAAAAAATCAACGTGACCTTGACCTGACCTTGGCGACGCCACGCAAGGTTAAGCCAATTCTCTTATGTTCCTCTCGAAGTCGACAAACTTTTGTCTGAAACATTTTTCAGGAAAATGCATATTTTCCAAGAAATTAGTCTAGTACGGTCGCTTTGGAACACCGTGTATACTATACTGTAATATATTAAATAATTTAGTTATTGTTACAAACATGTATTATAAATACTGATATACAGTATTTGTACACTGACAGTAAAATTTTCTAAATACAAATAATTTTTTTCTTGAGTTCCAAGTAAACATTTCTTTACTGCAAGTAAATATTTAAGTGTAAACATATATCACTTGTAACAAGAAATTAATCATGAATAAGCAACATTTACTGGCCGTTAATAATATATCAAGCTTGATCCGTCAGTATTCTTTATGATTAAGTTGACACACGTATTGAATGACAGAGGATGTTAGTATTTAGAGAAAACGAAGTAAATTTTCTATTGTATGATTGGAATTTGTGTCAGTCGTACAGTCTTCCATCGTAAAAAGTAATCTGATTAATTGAATATTGATATTCAAACTGTTTGAATAAGTCATTATCGATGTCATGGTATTATCAAACATATATACTTGTTGGGACAAAGTCTCTGTTTCGCGCCAAATAATTACACTTGCGGTTATTATAAATCTAAGTGTATTTAATATCTCAATTTGTGTGTGATGCAATACAATAATACATTGTCGTTCGAGAGTCGTCCTCTCTCCATATCCACCGTTGTCATTGTTGTCGTCGCCGCGCCCCCTGTACTCTATTGCGATACCACTATGCAACATCTCCTTCCCTCTTATTTGAAACTTGTATATTCTAAACGATCAGGGGGTCGGGTTTTACGTTTAGGACGCTGAGACATCTCTGTTGTTTCACTGGAAGTGGACCTTGGCTCTGAATTTGACCCGATAACATCTTCTAGCTTCGATGAATTAAACAATTCTTCTGGGTTGATGATGATTTCACTTGAGTCGGTTTGTGGTAATTTCTGAAAAGATGCCGAAATTATGTGATCCACATGTCGTTTGATAGTACGATTATCTACTTGGACGATATATGATACTGGACCAATAGATTTTATAATATAATAGTTCCAAGGCTCCATTTTGGGTCATTTTTTCCAAACGTTCGGACCCAAACTTTATCTCCGATATTATATTGACGAACAGGAACATTTTTGTTAAATTGCTGCTGCTGCTTTTCTTGCTTGTTCCTGACAATGGAGTCTACATTGGGATGAAGAAGATCTAAACGACATTTCAATTGCCTTTTCATCATAAGTTCAGCTGGAGCAACGCCAGTAGTTACATGAACTGTGGTCCGATAATTAAACAAGAAATTGCACAATTCCAAGTTATCCTTTTGTGCATGATTACTTCGTTTCATGCCATTTTTGAACGTTCGAACAAATCGTTCAGCTTCCCCATTACTTCGAGGATAGTAGGCGCTTGACTTGGTATGGCGAATACCGTTCTTTTTGCAGAATTCCTCGAATTCCTTTGACACAAATTGGGGGCCATTATCGGAGACTATGGTGTCCGGAATACCATAACGTGCAATGCTTTCTCTCATACATTGGATAATATGAGCTGAAGATGAATCTTTTCCCAAGTTATATACTTCTGGCCATTTGCTATAAGCATCTACAATTATTAACCATATACTGTTAAGAAAAGGGCCTGCTAAATCTATGTGTAACCGTTGCCATGATTTTTCAGGAAATGACCAGGGATGAAGCAATGCTGTGGCAAGATTGTCATGGCTGACTGCATATGACACACATGATTTTACAAGTGAATCTATGTCTCTATCTATTCTTGGCCACCACACATGACTTCTAGCTAAAGATTTCATTCGGACAATTCCAGAATGTGTCTCATGTAATTGTTCCAAAATTTGTTGATGTAACGATTCAGGAACAACAACTCGTATGCCCCACATAACCATTCCTTGTTCCACTGTCAGTTCCTCTCGATGAATGAAGTAAGATTTCAATTTATCTGATAACTGAGACTGCTTATTGGGCCATCCATTTTTGATGAAACGAATAACTTGACAATCACGACTAGTTTTCAGCTTTACTGAGCTTGAAGATATTGGATGTTCCTCTATAATGGTTTTAACTTCCTCTTCCACTATAATGTCCACTGGCTGATTATCCTCGAGTGGCAGACGTGATAGTGCATCTGCATTACTATGATGATGAGTATTTCGATACTCAATATCATACAAGAAGCTGGATAGGAACATGGCCCAACGGTGTAATCTAGTTGCAGCTAAAGATGGCAGTTCACGGTTTGGACTAAATATTGCGAGTAATGGGTTATGGTCCGTAATTAATATGAAGCGACGTCCATATAAATATTGAATAAAGCGTTTTATTCCGAATACAATACTTAGAGCTTTCTTCTCTATTTGGGAGTAATTGCGTTCGGCAAATGATAATGTTTTAGAGGCAAAAGAAATCGGTTGTTCACTTCCATCTTTGTGACGATGAAATAAGACTACTCCAACTCCGACAGATGATGCATCGCATGCTATGCCAATAGGAATGTTCTGCTAGTAATGTGCTAACACAGGAGCACTTGAAACAGATTTTTTATTTTCCTGAAACTTTCCTTACATTGACTATTCCAATTTCAAACAACGCCATCACGTATTAATTTATTCAATGGCTCACAGAGATGTGACAAATTATTAATAAATTTACTGTAAAAATTTACTAACCCTAGAAAGGATTTCACTTCCTTTACATCTCTGGGCTCTCTCATGGACACAATTGACTCTACTTTCTCCGGGTCTGTACAGATACCTTCTGCACACAAAATTTGTCCAAGAAATTTGACTGATTGTTGCATAAATATGCATTTTTTCTTTAATAGACGAAAATTTCACTCTCTCATTCGTTGGAATATCATTTTAAGATTTTGCAAATGAGCTTAATCGTCCTTTCCAGTAGAAATCGTGTCGTCCACAAATGATCCTGTCATCGGAATTCCTTTGAGTATCCGATCCATTAATTCTTGAAAAATTGCCGGTGAAGATGCAATACCTTGAGGTAGTATGTTATACCTATAGAGGCCTCGATGGGTATTTATGACTAAATACTTCTTACATGATTCTTCTACTTCCACTTGATGAAATGCATCTGGACCATCCAATTTAGTAAAAGCTTGACCACCTGAGATCTTCCCAAATATTTCCTCGACTCTTGCGAGAGGATATTGTTGAACATGCAATTGGTTGTTTATGGTACGCTTGAAATCTTCTGTGATGCGAATCGTTCTATTAGGCTTTGGTACTACTACCAATGGCGAAGCCCATTCCGATGTTTCAATACGACTAATGACACCGGATTTTTCCATTTTTTCAAGTTCTTCGTCTACTTTGTCTCGTAATACAAATGGAATGGGACGTGGTTTAAAGAAGCGAGGAGTAGCATCTTCTTTAAGCATTAACTTGGCTTTAAAATCCTTAATAGTTTCGACCGGTTGATCAAAAACATCGCTATATTCCTTTAACAATGTAGTCAATGATAATTCATTACTAATGCGACATACCTGAGAACATTGTTTTTTAATTCCTGTCCAATCCATTTGAATCTTTCTTAACAGATCACGACCAAAAAGACAAGATCCTTCCGAAACGTGAATTTGATGACTAACTGTCTGTTGATTGTGTTCAATGGTGCAAAGAAATGTTCCTCTTGATTCAAATTTTTGTCCAGTGTATGTTTTAAACTTTTTGCTTGGATGGAGTTTGGGACAGCCTAACTTTTTCCATGCATTAGATGTAATAAAACTCGTACCTGATGCAGTATTCAATTCCATTGGAATTCCATTTAAACGAACGTTAATCATGATAGGATTATCATGCGATACTTGCTTGACATTATTAATCTGACTTGTTTTATGCTTCCTTTCTCCTCTTTCACCTTTAGGCTGTGATAGACATCGACGCGCAAAGTGACCGGATTTATTACAACGATGACAAATAACGTCCTTATGTGGACAATCTTTTTTTATGTGTTTCTCTCCGCAACTGGAACATGTTAACTTCCCTTGCTTTATTTTGGCAGAATTCTTATTCATATACTGAGATTGTTTAGATGATCATGATTTAATCTTGTTAGTCTGATCTGTAACGACAGTAAGACTACTATTGTGCCGTATTAACTGGGTACTACTATCGGCTGCTTTTTGACTAGTAGCAATCTTGACAGCCATATCCAAGGTTAGGTTGTCATCCTCAAGAAATAAACGTTTTTGTACTGCCTCAGAACGAATACCTACAATAAGTTGATCTTTTAATGATGTATTTAAATCAGTGAACTTACATGTTACACTTATTTTACGCAGCTTGGAAAGATAGATATTTATTGACTCTCCTGGCTGTTAAATCCGTTTATAAAACTTATATCTCTCTGCAATTGTCTTTGGTGCAGGCTTATAATGCTTTTTGAGTATTTCAATAAGCTCTACAAATGTTTTCTCCTCTGGTTTGGCTGGCGAAACTAAACTTTGAAGAAGTCCATACTGTAAGACTGCCTTATGATAACAGTCAATTTCCAAGTCGCATCCGTTAGAATTAACGACTTCAAAACGCTTGAGCCGAAGGGACAAATTTCTGGGATAGTAATAATAATAGGGAAGGAGAGAAGATAATTCAAATGACTGTCAGGCCTAAACTTCTTCTTCTTTCACTCAACAGAAGTAACCTTTATTTTAACACAAAAGATTAGACTTGAATCTAAACGTACAAAAGCGACGGTGAGCTTAAGGGTAATATCGAACGATATTCAAAACTCGCGTGACTGCGACAAACCGTCGTCGGCGCCGTCCGTGCTCCGGTTTTTGACTGTTCGGCTCCGGCCCGAGGCGCCGCACAGAGCGATTACAAGTACTACTATCCATACGTTTGATAGCTGTAGTAACGGTCGCGATAAATAGATGTCTCGTATGTTCACATCGACGGACGAATATTATAATGCTTGATTATCGAAATATCTTACA